CTGTGAGTAAATATTACAATTTTATAATCTCTTAAATGTTGGGTGCCTCTCCCTCAAACTACATAATAGATTATTAATTTAGCTATTTTCAAAATCACATAAATATTTTATTTTTGTATGCTATTTGCTTTAGAAAAATATAAATATATGTACTGGAAACATGGAAAATGGCTAAGAATTCCCAGAGTACTTGTTGGAGTAATGTAATTAAAGCCAAAAATCTCCTGCAGCCTCAGAAAAACTTTCCATGAAAGAAGAAAAGAAAGAAAACAGTTTTGTTATTGAATAAGCATTCAACTGGATTGTGATGTGAATCATAGGCATTCTGCAAGAGGTTGCAAAGACAGAAAAAAATCTTGCTCTTTTTTATAGCTAAGGAGACACAACCATTACATACATGTTTTTAAGATTAACAATGACTAGTCCTCAGGTAAGAGAACCTGACAGCACCATTTGTCACACAAAGTTATCGTACATTTCCTTGGTAGTTGGAATAGCCACCTGTGCTTGCTGATTGCCTTTAAAAGAAAAAATGAATTTCTTGTATCTTTATGACTGGAGGTAGGTTTGCAATTTGTAGCAGGCACCAGCTGAATTTGGCTACCCCTCCAGGAACCAAGGAGATAGGGGAGCTATCTTCCTTGGTGGTTACATTTCAAATTAGTGGTCCCCATACACCCAAGGACACATTTCCAGGGTGCATATTTAGCCTTTAAAAAGATTTATGTACATTTCAGAGAGGTAGAGAAATAACTTATAAGTTTTCTAAAATAAATGATCTAAGAAAAACTGTGTTCAGGGGGGAGACATCTCTTCCCTTATTTTTAATAGGAAGAATTAAGCCTTTTAATTTTATTTGTATTTGCCTACATAGCCTTTAAATTTTACTTACAAATCATGCACTTCATTTCTTTTGTCTATTCTGTAACCAAAAGTATGCCTTTCATAACTTTCCAGGAATATCATAGTTCTTAAGATGTTATTAATTCTAAAGTATTTTAATTTTATTGTAGATGTTTCAAAAATAGAAATGGAATTATGGAAAGCACATACACTTCATGTCATACCATATATATTTACCTTATGAAGTGGCCTTTGTTGGTGAATGCATTATCAAATAAATATGAAATGCCCTCTGTGATTCTGACACTGTTTTAGACACCTGGCTTAATTCAGTGAATAAAAAAACAGGCAAAAAACCCTTGAGTTTATGGAGCTTAAAATTTAGAAGGATACAATCAATAAACAATAAACATCATAAGAAAGAAACGTGGTATATTACAAAGTGATAAAATCTATAGAATAAAATAGAGTAATCGAATGGTAATTGGGAGTGTTAGGGTGGAACTGTAATTTTAAATTGCCAGAGTAGGCCTCATTGACATGACATTTAAGTTAAGACTTGAAGGAGGTGAATGCTATCATTAATTTATTAGCAAATGATTTCATATTTTCTTCTCTGTAGAAAGACAGAAAAGAGAATCAGCTTTGTTATCTTAATTTTGTCAGCTGTAAGGTGCAGTAGTCAAGAGCAGTGTGGATTCAATATGGCAGATATTTGGACAGGAGAAGGTGGGACACTGGAACTTGGAGCTTAGTAATGGAGAAGGAAAAAAATGAGGAAATTTTTGTCCTATTCATGGGAAGAAGAGTTTCTAGTGCATATTGATGATTAAATCTTCACAGCTGTATTCTCCTCTCTTTCTTGAGTTCTTAGAACCATGACAAAATAATCTGGATGTGGTGATTAAGTCAATCAGTGGTGTATGTTGTTCCAAATCCCACCAAAGTAAAGGGACTTAATACAAAACAAAATGTGGCTTTTCATAGTGTCATAATCAGATCACTTTTATATTCTGTGCTTGCAATGCTATTTTCAAATAAAATTTTCTGTCATTCACAGAAAATGGCTTTCTCTTCGGTAGTACATCTTCTGGTGACCCAGACAGAAAAAAGGACTCTCGTGGTTCACTTCTTGGCTTTGGATTTAGTGCTCCAGGAGAGGCTGAATACAGGGTGAGAGAACGTCGGGATACTGAGAGTTCTGAGTCGGAAGACACCACAGCAGGTACTGTTAGAGAAAAAATGCTTATGCTTTTTTAAATTTTAATTTGGGATAATCTGATAATCTTTGTTTTATTTAGAGCACAGTGGAGACTCTAAAGGCACTAATTCCAGTGCCAGTGAGAGTGATAAATTCTGTCTGGCGAAGATATGTTTACATTAAATTAATCCTTTTCTTGATAATCTTTTATTTTCTCATGCTATCTTTCTACTTGGTGTTATTGTTATAATGGTCAATCATTTTTGGTGACATTTTTCAGTGTATACATCAATAATTTAAAATGCTCCCTGGACCTAAATGCAGTAGGGTCTCTCCACTCATGTTTCTGTGTCCAACCACAATTTATTTATTTTTTATTTATTTATTTATTTATTTATTTATTTTTTTCCCTTTTTGTCTTTTGTGTCCGGCAACGGATCGCAACCCTCAGTGTTGCACCCGTACCGGACCGGGACCGGCAACGGGATCACAATCCTCGGTGTTGCTCCCACACCTCGCTCAGCCAGTGAGCGGGAACCGGTCTGTATGTGGGATCCGAACCCTCGGCGGGAGTGCCACCGCACTCCCAAGCGGCGCACTGTAGCAGTGCGCCACCGGGCCAGCCCACAATTTATTTTTTACACCAGGATTCTCTCTTTAAATTGCACACTTAACTTGCTGAATAATCTTATAAAGCAGGGCTTCTAAATAGCTTGTAGCCTGCAATTTTGTTTTGTTAGGAAAAAAATTTAATTTCTTTAGGTGGAGCATGTCTGGTTTAACATATTTCTCCCTACTGACATATGCAAAATTTACTTAACTTGCCTGGTCCCTGATATCTTTATAGTTGATACCTCTACAAAAATGGGAAAGAAGGAGGTCCAGTGAGAAAAATAAATTAAATATTTTATATTGAAATTGAATCTTTGAACCCATATAGTGATAACTGAAAAGAGAGAAATAGCTTTGGGTCTAGGAGTGTGGTTGAAATATCTTTAGGAAGGATACAAAAGTTTTCTATCACCTGTCCAGTCACCTGTTTTGGGACTGACAAACTCAGTATTACTTATGAGCTAGTGCTTCACTTTTCTTATGGAATTGTCTCAAACCTCATGCCATATGCACCCCTGATTACATTATGTAGAATTATGTATGGAAAGATGTATGGGGGTGGAGGAAGTAAAAGAATACATCAGAAACTATGATGTATACCTAGTCCAAGCAATGTGCATCAATTAATTTCTTGTATTATATAAACGAATGCAACTTTTCTCTGATAATGATTGTATTTTTGTCTAGTAGATGAAATCAGTTCAGCTGGTGGTATTGCCCACAGTGTCTCTGGTGGTATGGAATTTGGTGGTACTGCTTGAAATAAGATGAAATTGGTAGGGTAATTCTGGCCAAAACGGAATTGATACAAACACAGTAAATGGATTAGCTAGCTCTGATTCTGCTGCCAGGGAAACAAATATTCCAAGTTGTTTCTTAGTTTCTGTTTTTGAAAGAAAAATCAATTAATTAGCTATGCAGGGATTGGCAGTTTTTGTTTTTTTTTTTTTAACCAATGCAAATTTAGTTTTAGAGGAATACATGGGAAAGATTTGTAAGCTATATGTTTGGTTCTTGAGGCATCTGTGTTATCTTCAACAGAAATCAGTGATTTAAACACTGCAGTGAAGACACAAGTAGGTTGGAGGCTTTTATTGACGGTGCTTGGCTCTGGGAGGAAGCGACCCAGTTTCGATCCCTGGTCTTTACCACTAACCTGCTGTGGACTTTGAGAAATTTATTTAAACTCTTGATCCAAAGTTTTGTCACCTGGAACAGAAAAATTTGGGGCCCGTATTTCTGTACGATGTTTACATTGCTAACTTCTTAAGTTCTATTACTCATATTTGAACTAGTTTTCTTGGAAAACAATGCCAGAAAAAAACAATTTACAAAAGTGTGAATAAACAGCATTTTATATTCAGAAATTAAAACTAGTGAAGAAGTGAGAGTCCATGAAGTATAGTAACCTTACGTTCTTTTCGTCAGAGTGATTTACCTTAAAATATGTGGACGTGGACATGGGTTGAAACAGAAAGAACAGCAAGGAGTTCATTGATGGCAAATCCATGGGCCTTGGCTCTCATGTCAACAGCTCAGGAATTCTGATCCAGACTCTATTAATAAAAAATACAAATAATTTTAATTCTTTGTTTATTGCTCCTTAATATTTTAATTTTCCGTTAGTTAGAAACATTTTGCCTTTTGATTTTGGAGTTGGTGGTGAAAAGAAGGGTGAATTGGGATTGGTTTTGCTAATTTTGGTTCATGGGGAATTGACTTCAGTGGTCTTGAACAAAAAAACTTTGATGAAAATGAAATAGTGAACACTGGAAAATCAAGTTTCAGTGATCTAGATATTACTACTCAGATTATGTGCATTAAAGGTAAAGAATCATAAGATGTTTTTAAATATTCCCTGCTAACAATGATTTTTTTGTTTAAATTTCAACAGATAGCACCAATACAAGAAGTGGGGCTGGATTTAGTAGCAGTGCCTCTGTAAATTTGGGATTTAGTTTGGGGACATCTGGTCAAAAAGAATTGAAAATCAGTGGAGCTGATGGAAGTAAAATTAGTGGCAGTGGTTTTGCTGGGGGTGGGGGCGAAGCCTTAGTCTTTGGATATAATGCCCATAGTTCAGGTATTCCAACTAAGGCTTACTCTTGAAAATTATAAATGAATTAATTGGTTAAAATACTTTTCTCATAAAACAACAAAAAATTAATTAATCAATATGAATTTTAATAACATTTTGATTTTTCTATTAGTTGGAACCAGGTTTGGAACTCGGAGCAGGGAAGGGTGACAATACATTTGGTTTTGGAATTTCTGGTTCAAATTCACTTGGTGACGGTGGCATTAGCAGCAAAACAGTTGAAAAACAACAGTTGAAGGAAATAAAATGGGTAGTTCTGGAGGATCTATTTCTAATGGTCTACGTAATGATGTCTATTTTTTTGTACCTGCACATTTCTAAATTTTAAAATGTTTTCAATACACACTGTGACAACCATTTTATATTCTGCAGGTGATAACCAGTTTGAGAAGTGAAAATCAATTTGTTGGTGGTGGCTCTGGAAATTTGAAATCCAGTGTATGGGATTCTGGTCAAAAGGGATTTGGAATCAATATGATTGGAGGGGATGGAATGAGTGGCAGGATGTTTGCTGGGGCTGGATTCAAAGACCTTGGATCTGATGCCAGTAGTTCAGGTATTCTACCCAGTCTCTGTTCCTGAGATGTCCGACTGAGTTTCAGATATTCACTATTTTATTTAATAATGTCTTGATTTTTCTTCTAGTGGGAAGGCTTGGGTCTTTTGAGTTTGGACTTGGAGGAAGGAAGATTGGAGCTGAATTTGGTTTTGGAGATTCTGATTCAAATCGTTTGATGACAATGGCCTTAGTGCAAATGGAATAAAACATACTAGAGAACCTAGTTTCAGTGGTAGGGTTGCTGATAGTTAATTTCTGTGCATAACAAATTTCTGAATTATAAAATGTATTACACATGTTCTGGTGACACATTTTTAATATTCTGATAGGAGTATCAGTGTAAGAAGTGGATGTGGAACATGCCTGTGACTTTTGGAAATTCGGGATTTGGTGTTGGGGCATTTGGTGAAAAGTAATTTGCAGTCAGGGGACTGATGGAGTGGGCAGCAGCACGTCTCTTGGGATTGGATCCATGTGTCTCAGTTCTGATGCTTGTAACTCAAGCATTCTACCAACCTGCATTCTATCGATGAAATGGATTTCAAAATTTCATCATCTTTTAAGATAGCAGTTTAATCTTTCCATTAGAAGGAAGGACCTAGTTTTCTGGCTTTGGAAATGGAGAAAGAAAGGGTAGAATTCAATTTGATTTTGGAGATTCTGGTTCAAATAAGTTTGGTGACAATGGCTATAGTAGTATAGACTTTGGTGGAAATGGAGTAGGTGGTTCTGGAGGCTCTAGTTTCAATGCTCTAGATACCAGTAGTTAATTTCTGTGCACAGAAAAATCTGAACAATGGCATGCATTGAACGTAATTATTATGACCATTGTTTTGTATTCAGCAGGTGGTTCAAGTGCAAGAAATGGGGTTGACTATTCTGATGGTGTCTTTGAAGATTCAGTAATCAATTTGGGGTCATCTGATCAGCAGGGATTTGGAGTCAGTGGAATTGTTGGGAATGGAAAGAGTAGCAGTGGATCTACTGAGGCTGTGTACTTGAGTCCTGGATCTGATATCAGTGGCTCAGGTATCCTAACCTGGACTCTGTTCCCAAGAAATTCCAAATAACCTCTTCCTTTTTTATTTCTTTCAATCACATTTTGATTTTCCATTAGGAGGAAACACTATGTCTTCTGGTTCTGGAAGTGGTGAAGAAAGCGAGGGTGCATCTGGACTTGTTGGTGCTTCTGGAATAAACAAATTTGGTGCAGCTGGCCTTAGTGGTACAGGTACCTGTGATACTGGACAGGATGTTACTGGATCTGGTTCCCACAGCATAGGCATTGAGATTTGTTTCTGATGATTAGAAAGTCAGGATTCTAAAAAATATTTTTAAATAACAGTAAAAATTTTGATGATTAATAATTTTAAAAAGCAAGCCAGAATCCTGAAAGGTTGAAATGCATTTAGATATGATCGGGCAAAAACCATTGATCATTTGTTGGCATAGGATGTAGAACTGACTTTATGGCTGTGAATATATCAATGCAAAATTCTTTCTGTTGCCTTTATGCAAAACTGGTTTGGAGTCCATTAAAGAGGTGGTTATAGTGGCAGTTGATTTGTTCGGCTCAAACGTTGTATCCTGAGTTTGGACTTGGTGATTTTTGCTTTGCGGTCCATTCCTGAGAAGAGTAAACTAGTTCTAACCTTTTTGAAAATCTCATAAAATTTACTATTTCCACTTAATGGAAACATTAGATTGACTAGTCTTGAAATTTGTTGTGAAAATTGTTAAAATAATATTTGTTACTGATAGGAGACTGTCCTGATGCTGTTAGCAGTATTGAAATGTCTTGGGAGCCACTTGTGTAGGTAACCACAGAATGTGCAGTCTCTTGTGGGCAGTGGACCATTCGTAATGAAATGGGTGCTCTGACAAATATTCAAGGTTCATCTTTAGAATGCAGGTTTAGGATTAATACTTTCTTTTAAAAGTGAAATCTAATGGGCAAGAGAAATGATGTAGTGTATTAATGGTTGGCCTAACTCAGGATTGACTATCAATGTAATCTGTTCAAGATTGTTCAAGATTGTTCAAGATTGGTCATACAGAAAAAATAATTCTATTTTGATTCTCCTTAATCTTTGGACATCAATTTTGAAGTCAACACTTCAATGGAACTAAGGCATTTGAAATCATTCATTATATATTGGCACTGATTTTGTTTAATTGCAATCGGTACAAATGGTTTAAAAGACACTGAATTTCTGAACTCAGTTTTGCTGCCATTAATTCAGGTATTCAAAAAGTTTTATTCCTGAGAAATGTACTCAGAATTAACTACTTCTTATCTTTCTATCATGCAGTGGCTGTCAATTTGAGATTTTTTTTCTATTTTGAAATCAAATTTTGACTGCTTTGGTTTTTCCATGACAGGTCGACTTGTATTAAGTAGTGTTCTTTCTCGTAGTGTACATAATGGCAGTAAATCTAGTGGCTTTGCAATGGGAAGTCTGGATCTCTTGACAGTAGTGAAGGTGACAGTTAATCTAGATTAGTGGTTTTCATATTTCCAGGTTCTATGAATGCAGAATCCTTTGTTTAATGCACATTTTGAAATGGTACCTGGATTTTACAAATATAAAACAATTCAAAGTGAGAGCAAGTTTGGTTTGAAAATGGGATAGGAGACCCAGAGCACTTTCTGCTCAACCCTTGTCTCTTTCCCTGGACAAGTTTTAAGACAATTGATCTGGAATAAATTGATTTGGTGGCAGCTAATTTAGTGGCAAGTGATTAACTTTTGTTACTCCAGCAGGTTGTTGAGATGATAATATTCTTTTCTTATACAGCTTCACACGGCCTAAGTCTGCTATCATTAGCATTATTGGACTTGGATACTTAAGTTTTGTTTTTTTTTTTATAAATCATTTTACCAAGTAAAATTATGTACAGAAATCAGCCTAATCATTTTGTATTAAAATAGGTGTCACAAGCTCATCTGAATACAGTACATCTGGACCACTCAGTACTACAGGTAATTTGATTTATGACTTTGGGTGTTTAAAAAGATAGACACACACACACAATTTAAAAACGTTCTGTTGATTACTGTTGATTATTAGTTTACAAGGACCTGATATTATTGTGTTTCTCATATTAAGTTTTTAAGATCTTCTTTTTGAGTTTAGATGACCAACTGGATATTTAAAACAATTTAATGAATAAGAGAGATTGAATTATATTTTAAGGAAATTCGAATAAAATATAGTGCAACTTCTCCTTTATCATTTTAGTATATTATTTTTTAAATGCCCTTACAAATGAATTAAAAGTTGAATGTATTTCTGGTCATTCTGAGTAAAGACAACCTGTAGTAAAAAGAAGTGGCTTCATGACAGACAATAAATAGCATTGTGAAAAATATTTTAAAATTCTATCAAAATATCCACTTTTGTTATTGTTTCTGTTATGTTCTGCTTGCTTTTAGGGCTTGCCCTAAGATTTCATATAAATTTACATGGTTACTTAAAAGGGTCATTAGAAATAAACAATCATAGGTAACTTAAAGTTTTGAGGCATATAGATTTTTCCCTTTGATTAGAAGAATTGAATTATCTTCATGTATAGATAATTGAATTATTATTATTAAGTTATAGACTGATTGAATAAAATGTACCTTGGGCCTATTTGTGTCATGGCTCTGATAAAAATTGGCTTGCAGAGTTTTATTTTTGAAGTTCTAAACAGTAGTTCTGTAAGAAATGCAGCATATGTGAGTAATAGTACATGATGTCAAATGAGTAAGCTCTTAATGATTTTTGAATATCCTATGGCTGATTCCTCCCAGAAAAGAATATGGACTGCAGATATAATCACATATGTGATTTTGGACAATCTCAGCTCTCACAAGGTCAAATTATATATTCAGGATATAGAAATTCATTCATTGTCTTCGATACCAGCTTCTAAATTCCCATGTAGGAGTCCCAATATCCTGTATATTAAAAAACAGTATATGTCTTAAAATTTAAATAATCTATTCATTGTGTTAAATAGAAAAAGGATCCCATATTCCAGAAGCAACTCCGAAATACTCAGAAACAAATGCAATTATTGGTAAGTAAAAATGGCTCTGATATCCACCCATATTTTTATCCCCAAGCCATTTCTTAATGAGGTCATAGAGTAATCAAAATTTGAAACCAGTTTTAAAAAATTGGTCATCACCTATCTGTTTGATTCAACTGTATGGTTGAATGACAGCACATTTGTACTATTTTTCTTCCTATATATATGCATACACACAGAAAAACACATCATAGACATACAAACATATATACTTGTACATACATATATATATATACATACACATATCATACACTTATGTGTATATAGAGAAATAATATAATTCTTTACACTCATTCAATATAAATGGTACCTCATTCAGACATTAGAAAAACTATTCCTGCAAAAAAGCAAAGCAAGCAAACAAACCACATCTTCCCTCTATATATCCCTCCCATATTAGAGACAATTTCCATTTCCCTGCAGGATACAAGATGTTTTTATTCGTCTCTTTTCTTTTTTTAAAGTCAGAATAGCCAATTTGGGGCACTCCAAAGAAGGACTTGGGTACTACTTTTTATGAGTTTTTGCAGTAGTTAAAGAAAGCACTGACTGAAGGTGGTGGCTGTTAGAAGAAAATCTTTCAGTAATATTTTTTTCTTGGTACATAACTGCTTTAAAAAACAGAACTAGAAGATCCATTAATTATTCTAAATAATTACGAATATTTTCCTGTGATGTAGGTGAAGCTTCTACTTGGGGCAAAGGAGCGTATAAAGCTTTCAATGGCCGTATCTTTTCTTTTGAGTCATCGTGTGCCTACACTTTCTGCCGTCACTGTGTTGAGTCTGGAGGAGATTTCAATATTGAGATCAAACGGAATAATGATAGTGAGATTGAAAAAATAACAGTTCTAATCGACAGTAATGACATTTCTATTATTGGTGATATTATTTTAGTTAATGGAGAAAGGTAAATACCATCTAGTATTTTATATAAATGCTGTAGAATTATTTGAAGTAACCTGAGGGGAGGGGGGAAAGGTTGAATAGGGAAGAGATGGTTCTCTTTCTATTTTAATGGTCTTCTTGATATTTATAATACATTCTTGGACAGGAGTTTGATAAATGCTTAACACTTTACTATATTTTGTATTATAAAATATTATATTTATTTCTATAACAAAGTGGAAAAATTCAGTAGTTCCATTGTTTGACTATTCTGAGTATCCAGATTTTGGGCAATCTGTGTATTCAACAAAACTGCAACAGAATATTTCAGTTTTTATTTGCATGTTTAACACTGAATATAAATTTGAGGTTTTACAAATTAGATTGAAGAGATTGAAAGTTTTAGACCATTATTTTTAGAAGAGGCAGTTCAGAATTGGAAGGCATAGTATATTTGAACACTTTCCAGAATAAGAAAACCAGGCATGGTATCCTACTTTTGAACATTTCAAATTATTTCATCATTTTTTTTGACACTGAACCAGTGTTTCGTCTTGTTAATTTCTCCAAAGCCCCAAGGGATCTATTAATTTTTCCTGAAAAATTCTTCCAATATTATAAAAAAGCATTGTGTCTCTTTTTGTAAAATGATAAGAAAATTTTAATATTTACTAGCCAATATTGTACTTAAAAGATACTAAATATAGAAACATGAATTATCAGAAAAACATGCTATAATGACATTTCTTACATTTATATATACTTACATTTTATACTTTTCAGTGTACAGATACCATATAACAATAAGTTGATTCACATTAAAAAATATGGAGAACACAATCTCCTGAACAGCCGTAGAGGAATCCTATCATTAATGTGGGACAAAAATAACAAACTGTCAGTAAGTCGATCTATAATTTTCTCATAATCCTTTGCTTTTTACTCTTTATTTTCAGTTATAAAAACAATATACTGTAAGGAAAGTAAGAATTAAGGTTTATTGAGAAATCTATATGCATTAGTCACTATACTAAGAGTTATCTTATTTATTATCCCAAATACATACTATTATTAATCTTATTTTGCAGGTGATGAACTCAGGAACTACAGGCTAAGAAAAGTTAAATAATCTGCTCAAAGACACCTAGTTAGGAAATGGTGAAGTCAGGAACTATTCTAAGTATTAGAGATTGGTCCTTTGAAAAGGCTCTCTAGTACACCCCTAAATAACCATCTTAGATATAATGAAATATGAGGAAGCCCTGTCCTTTGGTTTGGGCAAATTTAGTCTTGAGATGTTTTCAATATTTTATAAACATATAAATGTATTTTTTTTAAAGCTCACTCTTCACAAGCAATATCCAACTTGTGGTCTTTGTGGTAACTTCAACAGCACTCCAGGTAAGATTTCGATGGATTATGCCTAAGAAAATTGCTTCTCAAAAGAAAATAATAAAGTAATTTTTCATATTTGGATAAACCTAATAATGATTTGTCTTTGTCTAAAAAATGAGAAATTATTAAAATGAAAAAATACATTTATGTTGCCAAGTCCATATGTAGCTAGAAATCAATGTACATAATATAAAGAATATCTTAAACTAAACAATGCTTTCTTTTTAAGGGCAAGATGTCAATGAGCACATTGCCAATAGTAAAATTCCTGGTGATTGTCCCAATGCTGTTAGTAAAAGCTATGAGGTTTGTGAAGATGGATTACAGGTAAGAAAGTTATATTTCATCTTGTAGCAAATTTCACCAATATTCCCCTTGATTTCTTTTTGTAAAAATGAGTTTTATTGTATATATTTGAGGTATACAATATGATGTTATGGGACACATAGACCATACTAAGATTACTATATTGAAACAAATTAATGTATCCATCATCTCACATAGTAGCTACCAATTTTTTTTTTTGTGGCAAGAGCGACTAAATCTACTCATTTACCATGAATCCCATGTACAGTGCAATTTTATTACCTAGAGTCCTCATGTTATGTTAGATCTCTAGATGTGTTCATCCACATATCAGCTACTTTATATCCTCTGACCTGCATCTCCCCATTTCTTCCCCACCCCCAATATCCACTTTTCATTCTCTATCTCTGAATAGTTGAACTTTTTTTTTTTTTTTTGGATTTCACATATATGTGAGACCATGAAATATTTTTCTTTCTGTGTCTGGCTTATTTTACTTAGCATAACGTCTTCCAGGTTCATCCATGCTGTGGCAAATGTCAAGATCTCATTCTTTTTTTTTTTTTCTTCCTTTTTTGTCTTTTTTCGTGACTGGTAATGGGATCGCAACCCTTGGTGTCACGCCCGCACCACGCTCAACCAGTGAGCAGACCGGTCTCTATATGGGATCTGAACCCTCGGCGGGAGCGCCGCTGAGCTCCCAAGTGGCGCACTCTACCGACCGAGTGCGCCACTGGGCTGGCCCAAGATCTCATTCTTTTTTGAGCTGAGTAATATTCTACTGTGTATATGTACCACAGTTTCTTTATCCATTAATCTGTCAAAGGACACAGGTTGTTTGCATACTTTGGTTATTGTGAATTATGCTGCAATGAATACAGGATTGCAAATATCTTTATAAGGTGGTGAGTTCATTTCCTTTGGGTATATAGCCCAAAGAGGAATTGCTGGGTGATATGGCAGTTCTATTTTTAAAATTTCTTCAGAAACCTCCATACTGTTTTCCATAATGGTTGCACTAATATACATTTCTACTGATAGTTTACAAGAGCTCCCTTTCCTTCACACCCTCTTAAACTTTTATCTTTTGACTTTTTGTTAACAGCCATCCTAACAGGTGTGAGGTAGTGTCTCATGGTGGTTTTAATTTGTATTTTCCTTATGAATAGTGATGCTGAGCAACTTTTCGTGTACCTGTTAGCCATTTTGATGTCTTCTTTGGAAAAATATCTATTTAGGTCTTTTGCCCATTTTTAAATTAGGTTCTTTATTTTTCCACTATTGTTTTATGTGTTTTTTATAAATTTTGGATATTAACCCCTTATCAGATATATGGTTAGCAAATATTTTCCCCCAATATGTAGGCTACCATTTTGTTTTGTTGTTTGTTTCCATCACAGTGCAGAGACTTTTTAGTTTGATGTAATCCCATTATTTATTTCAGATTTTGAGGCCTGAGCTTTTTCGGTATGACATGCAAAAAATCATTTCCAAAACTGATGTTCAGGGGCTTTTCTCTTATGTGTTCTTCTAAGAGTTTTATAGTTTCTGGTCTTACATTTAAGTCCTTTATCCATTTTGAGTTGATTTTTGTGTGTGATGTAAAGTAAGTGTTTAATTTCATTCTTTTGCATGGGGAAATTCAGTTTCCCTGTATCATTTATTGAAGACACTATCATTTCCTCATTGTGTCCTCTTGGTGCTCCTGTCAAAAATTTGTGGACAGTATATGTTTGGGTTTGTTTCTGGGCTCTCTATTCTGTTCCACTGGTCTCTGTGTCTGTTTTTATGCCAGTGCCATGCTGTTTTGATTTCTACAGCTGTGTAACCCCTGGTTTCAATTTAGGTGGCCACTGTCTTCTTCTCAGCACTAGTATCTAAATCTTAGAATTTTGCAAGTGCTTCCTTTCTAATGTCCTTCTAATGTTTTTTGGCTTTAGTCTAGCTGTAGATGCTGAAATAAGTTTTTTTTCCCCCAAAACATTATGATATTTACTATATATTAGTATAAAAATTCTAATTACTTTTGCATAGTGTTTTAGTTTAGTTTAGTATTTAGTTTTTCTGTAAACAAAATTCATCCCTCCATTCTCATCTCTTGATGGGTACAGACTAGACTCTTCTCTTGGAAATCCATGTACTGCATCCAAGTCCTTTATTTTGCACCAGACATCCAGTCTAAATTGTTATCTCCCATATTCTTTACTTTCTTTTTGAAAAAAGTTACAGATAACATTTTTGACTACAATATTTAAAATAGTCATCATTTATGCTGTGAATTTTCCACTCTTATGTAATTTTATGTTGAATTTGATAGATTGCATTCATTTTATGACTGAATGAATGTTCACATATTCATATTTCAATCTAGAAAAAAATTTTCAGTATCAAGAGATGTATGGATAGAATGGAGACACTTTTGTTTTATTGACAGTGGGTGTTGCATTTATAGCCATCTTGTCATCCTCCAGCAAAGCAAATTAAGCCATGACAGTATATAAGATCATCTACCATCTTCCTGTGAATCTCTCCTTGATCTTCACAGCTGGAATTGCTTTCTCTTTTCTCTGTTACCTTGTATAGTAAAGTCACTTTAGCAACTATAATATTGAAAAACCTTCATTTCAACCAATATCCAAGTATTCTATCCTGTCAAAGCTACAGAATAACATGAAAAACAAAACAAACTTCTGTGTTATCTTTTCCTAAAAATTATCTCAATTGCCCATTTTTCTTGTTTTAATTAAACATTTAGTAAAACATGTTTTTTTTTTTGTAGTACTGTAACAAAATTATTGGAACTTACTTTGAGAAATGTGGAAAGGTTGCCACTTCATCCGATGACTACAAAATGATTTGTGTTGATGAGTACTGCCAAAATAAAGAAAAAAATTCTACGTGTGACACTTTCTCAGAATTGTCCCGCCTCTGTGCCTCAGATGGTTCTGGCATCTTTGAATCCTGGAGAAACGATTCCGATGTGGTTTGTGGTAGGTTTTTAACTTCACTATAGATTACAAATTGATAAGTTTCTATAACACTTTAAAGTTAAGCTGCATCTCAAAGTAATCTCCTGAAATGATTCTAAGCCTTAGAAGGGATCTCCCAGATGATGGAGTCTTGTCTCTCACATGTACTTATGAGGAAACTGAGGCTCGTTTTGGTGTTGTGACTTGTCTCAAGTCTCAGTACTTTGTGTTAAGATCTTAATTAGGAACTTTGTAGTCATTACAGTAAGAAAAATCATGGGGAAAAATGAGTAAATTCTGTAAAAAATCACTGGAAAATTTATCAAAAGTATACTGAGTAGTACTATAATTTTCTTCCAAAAAGATTAATCAAACATAAATATGAGCTTCATATGAATATAATTTCTACTTATGCTTATGTCAATCCCTATAATACAAGTAGAATATCGATTTCAACTTGAGATGAAATTATACACAATGTACATTTCCTCCAAATTAAGTATTTTAGAATAAAACAATGCATGGGACATTGGCATAATTTGATTATACGGAGTGTCTTTAAAGACTGATTTATATTTTGAAAATTAGACTGAAAGAATCCCATTTGAAAAGCTCCTTATTAGAATATTGCATGTTTATCACATTTGTTTTCTTCTAATTTCCATGTATACATATTTCTGTATTTCTCCAGAAAAACATACATGCCCAGAAAAACATATCTACAAAGAATGTGGACTCTCAAATCCTCCAAGTTGTTCTAATGTGGCTCCTTTTCAAGACAGTGAATGTGTGAGTGGCTGCACCTGCCCAGAAGGTAATCCACCTCTGAGAGTATTTTACACTAAAACGGCTTAAAAAGACGTGGCTCACGTATAGTGGTATCTTATTTGTAACAAGATATTTCAACAATTCAACTATTCCTAATTTATCCTTTTTGTAAACTGCAGAGGAGGGTTGGAAAGACTTTTAAAGCTAACGTGAATTTCTGTCTCTACAGTGCCTGAGGGCTCTGGTACTCCATAAAATGTGAGGGTACTTCAAAAAGTCCATGGAGAGATTTGTATTAATTTTCGATCCAATTTCTCCATGAACTTTTGAAGTACCCTCCTATTTTCTAGTACTATATTGGGCTTAATATGACTGTGCTCTGTGGAGCAGTAACTCAGGCTCAGAAAAATTATCTATACTCTTGCTAGTTCTCAAATGAGGAGTAATTGCTTAAACAAGAAATTGCCATTTGTATTGTGTGTTTACACTTGAAAAAACTAGATCAAGAGTGAGTGATTTCATAATATACTGCTGGACAATTTGCTGACGTTTATATAGTCTTGAGATTAACCTGATCTCAAAATGTATTCTAGGTTATCTATTGGATGATATTGGAGAAAAAGGGAAATGTGTATTAAAGGCTGAATGTCCCTGTGAATCCAGTGGAAAAGTGTATCAGTCAGGAGAAGTCCGAGAAGGCCCCTGTGGTTCTCAGTGGTATGTGTGTGCTTTTTCTCCACATTTTATTGATGGTGAAATAATAGGAATATTTTTTATCTAATTTGAAAAAGATTCCTAAATGCACCTTAAAATACACTTTTCAGAATTAAATGGCAATTTTATTGCATTTTCTGTGTACCTGATGTTTTGTCTTTTCAATTTTTTTTTGAGAAAGGCTTATATTATAAAATATATGAGCTTTCTGTGTATCTTTAAAAAATAATGTTATTCACTAGCTGAAATAGTGTTTTGAATATTAGACCGCTTGGTAGTTGCAAATATAGAGCAAAACATAGTACAAGAGTTTGGTTACAATAATGAAACAAAAATGATGCTAATTCAGCCGAGAATGTTTAATAATAAAAATGTACAATTAGAAACAACCCAACACTTTTCAAACAACTTTTCTACATAGCTTCATTGGTGAAGATGAATAGTATACTTACTCTGGAGTGAAATTTAATGTGCCAAAAGTTAGTGTTGATTATTTCACTCTTAACTGAATAGTCAGCTTGAGTCTTCCTTTTGAGTCAATAACAGTAGACCAGTGAGATTTCCCCATTCCTCATTATGGCTTTTCTCTGAAATGCTAAATTTCTGCAAGACTGCAGAGGACTTTTCTAGAAATGTGTCCTTGTGAGGAAATAATCTGGCTAATGAAAACAATCTATTATTTATACTATAATATTTTCTTCATAAGCAGGAAATATTTTGTTATTGTAGTATGAATAATTGTGAATAACTATAGCTATGATTTATTGAATGTCTATGACAGTGCTGCACAAAAGAAATACAATATGAGTCACAAACGTGATCCACATATATAATTTAACATTTTTTAGTTGATACATTTTTAAAAATTAAAGAGACAAACAGGTGGAAATGATTTTAATCATGTACTTGATATCACCCAATATATCTAAAATATTATCACCTCAAAAGGAAATTAATATAAAATAAAGTTAATGAGAAATTTTACAATTTTTTTCATACTAATTCTTCAAAATACGTGTGTATTTTAAATTACAGCAGATTTCAATTTGAACTAGCCACATTTCAAAAGCTCAGTAAGAGCTGGGCTGGGTGTCTCTGTACTGTATTGGACAGTGTAAGTCTACAATGTGGCTTGTAGCAGTGGTTTCAATACTAATAATGAAATGTGTTCCATTTAAACAAACACCTGAAATTCAATTTACAAGTTGTTGCATGTTTCATTCATGTAGAAGGTATCATTTTAGCCACTGGAATTCAAGTCTTTTAAAATACCAGGATACCACCACGAAATGAGAAATTTTATCAGAGCTCAAATGTTGAGTAGGGAATGAAGATCATATAATAAAAGTTTAACCGGATATTCTAGCTTAAATTATGATTTTTCAAGGGTTATGATATTTATTTTCACCATAGAGAAAACATGATTGGTGACCTTGAATGTAACCATTGCATTTTAACAGCACATGCCAAGAAGCAAAGTGGGCTTGCACTGAAGCACTCTGCCCTGGAAGATGTAAGGTGGAAGGAAGTTCATTTACCACCTTTGATGGTGCTAAGTACAACTATGCTGGAAACTGTCACTTCCTGGCCATTTACGTATGTAATAGCTTAGAACAGTTGAGAACACTGATATAAACATCGAGCTATTTCTCAAACAATTTAAAACACAATCTTCACTTCTAATTACTATTTAAAGAAATAAAAAAAACAAACAGATCTCCAATTACTGGTTATATATTATAATATCTGTTTTCTGTTGCATGTTGGTATTGATAGTATTACCTGTCAGTATTGAATCAGTATTACCTGTGCTCCTTGTAAATTCTTTGCTAACAAAAACCCATAACAAATAAAACCCTCTTCATTCACCAATAATTTGCTAAATACACTGGAAAATTTTGTTGCATGTCTTCACTAGAGCTTCATATGAAACAATCTTTCACATTCCATGAAACATCTTCCTCTTTCATCATTTCTTTAAATTTATTTTTAGTTTTTATAATACAATAGTACCAGTATAATAGAGGTTATCCTTACATTTAAATTCTTTTCGGTAATAAAATTTTAAATAATCTGAATTTCAATAAAAGGGTGATTCCATTTTGTTGTTTGTGCCTTCAGTTAGCATGAGAGTAAGCAATTTTTATTTAATCTTCCTGGTAAAAAATGTAATGAGCAGAAATTTTAATTCCTGAAGTGAGAGATGTGGATAAAAGTCCAGTAAGCTGCAAAATATATTTGCTGCTGCTAAAAGTCAGTTTTCCAAAAGAAAGTTTCCTGACCACTTACCCACATCAGCTATCTTTCCTACGTTTGGTGCTCCTCTTTTAATCATGAGGATAGGGGATGGAGAAAGTGAGAGGGAAATATGCCAAAGCACATGGAATATTTGCTTTGTAGAGATGAAAGATTCCTAGACTTTGAAATGAGAACCGGAAGTCAATTTTTTTCATGATATATATTATGATTTTACAGTTAGGTAACTCTCACATTGGATTTAAATAAGCATTGTGGACTGTCCAGAGAATAAACAAGCTATGTTACCTATAATTACTAATCGTCCCTATAAGGCAGCACAATTCCCTTTGAGGAGAAGGAAAAAAAATAAAGAGAAAAAAAAAAGATAACTATGAAAATCCATTAATTGTAGACTACATAGACATAGCTTAGGCAAGATACTCAGACCATCTATAAAGCTCTTGGCCAATCCTGAAACTATATACTATGGACTGAACTAGGTTTCTATTTTCAGAGAAGACTGTATGTAGAAATTTAAAATGTAAACATGCATTGTGAAAGAATCACGTAGTAATAACATATGATCAATAACACTTTAATAAACATTTTAATGAAATGCATTTTTTTCACAGGATAAAGATTGGTCTGTTAGTGTTGAGCTTCGTCCATGTCCAAGTGGGCAGACAGGAACATGCTTAACTAGTGTTACACTTCTCTTGAATTCTGTAAGTAATCAGCTTCCTGTTTCTTCAGAGTCAAATCAAATCAATTATTTCACATATTCAGAATTTTTGAGGTTGAAGAGAGGCTTTACCATGTAAATTAAAAGCATAAATAAAAGTCCCTAGAAGAGCTAGACAATTCCAAGGATCCTGAAATATATTAAAAGTACCAAGATACACAATTAATATGCTAATTATGAATCAGCCTTATATGTTCACTGAATTATTAAACTCTGAGGACTGTTTAAGAAGGAAGACAATGGTTTTTGTTTAGAATTTTATATATTTGGAATGGACATTGTAAGTGAAAACAGGCCTAAATGGGAAGGGAGGACAACTAGTCTGGACTTTGGCACTTACAATCTGTTTGACCTTTGGAAATCCAAGTTATGTTCTTGGATTTCAGTTTCCTCACTTACAAATTGGGGATAAGATTCCTTTACGATCTGCTGCACAGAGCTGATATGAGAAACAATGAAGCAAAGTATGAGAAATACTTAAAAATACTCTATATTTTATCTATTTATAAATTAATCTGATAAAATTAAATATGTTTTATGGCATGAAAATTTAGGTTCATGCATTATGTTAAAAATTAATATTGTAAATTAATATGAACTAACAAAGTTTTCTAAATATTAGTCTGTTTCAGTTGAAAAATATATATTCAACAGTGATGGAACAGTTACAAATGACAAGATTAGAAATCAAAGTTATTACTATACAGGTAGGTTTAATAATAGCATTTCAAACTAAGTGTAAGATGCATTTACTTATTTAATTTTTTAAAGATATTAAATGTTTCTGTATTTTAACAGATGTTAAAATACTAAAATATTTTTAAGAGACTAAAAACAGTTGAACAAGTCGATTATTGTTATTAATGTTAATAATTATTTTAACAGACAAAATACAAATCTTCAAAGCGTCTTCCTCTTATCTTCAAGTAGAAACATACTTTCATGTAAAAATGCAAATACAAATTGTTCCTGTGATGCAATTGTATGTTTCTATGCCACCCAACCAATTCACAGACACCGTAGGTAAGTCCTCTAGATATATTTTTATTTCTGATGCTCTAATGTAACCATAATTTATTGTAACTTCTAATTGTCTGTCAATTAATGACATTAACCATTAAGCATTTTGACTTAAAATTCCCTTCCACACCAAAGTAAAATATTACAACTTGCTTTTCATAGTAAAGACACCTTATTTATGACAAAATCTATTCCCCAAAGGTTTTTAAAACAATATTTTGACTTAAAATTCCCTTCCACACCAAAGTAAAATATTACAACTTGTTTTTCATAGTAAAGACACCTTATTTATGACAAAATCTATTCCCCAAAGGTTTTTAAAACAATTTAAATGTTTAAAATGTTTACATTAAGCCTTCTAGTTATGTGGTATTTGATAAAATATGTTATATATCACTTTGCTAGTATATGTTAATAATACTTTGTTCTGTAGTTGAATAAATGAAAATATTATAGATATAAGTATTTTGAAAATCATATTTCGAATACAAGCTACATATTACTTGTCTTCTTGATAGATCACATGATCATTTTTTTCACTGAGGCTTTTTAATTATAGAAATCACCTCTTAACATACAGCCATGAATGTTGAACAAAACAAACAAAACGATTATGACAAATCCCACAAAGAGCTATTAATTTATAAATGGTACGAGGTTTTGCAATATACGTTTACATGAGAAAGTAACTGATTTACTCATAGAAAAGAAAAGTAACTCATTAGTCAGAAGAGTCCAGGTAAGAAAAGCATATATAGCCCTTAACAGGGTTCAACTACTTGCACCAAAACCATGAAAATGTGCAGCTGTAAGCTTCCTACTTGCAAGCATGCTTTCCTACCACCTTGTCAAAGAAGATAAAGTTACAGCAACAAACAGGAAATATACAGTTTTTATGAAAAATGGGTTTAGTGCTCCTGAAATTTAAATGAAAGAAAACTTGAATGAAATCTGAAGTGTCATGATATTTACTTACATGTATAAAGACTGACCAAGACATATTCTAAGGTAGATTCTACAGGATTTGATTGAAGCAAAGAACTGACTATGAGATTAGGATATAAATCCAAAAAGTTGAGTAGGTGAGGAGATGTTAAACTTTGTTCTGTGCTATTATCCAGGACTCTGTGGTTCCTACAACAACAAAGTGGAGGATGATTTCATGTCAAGTCAGAATATATTGGAGAAGACATCTCAGGCATTTGCTAATTCTTGGGAAATGATGTCCTGCTCTAAAGGAAACTCTGCTTCATGTATCAGTATAGATAAAGGTAACATTAACTGAACACCAAACTCTGTATTTAAATATCTGGTGCTGGGAACTATGTACTTATTCTGGCAATAATATGAGAATTTCAGATAATCCTGGTTTTAGCTAGTTTTATTGTACTGTCCGAGTTTTAGAGAAAACAGCACAGAAGCAGTCTGGCTGGCAGAGCGTACTTCTAGAAAACACGTTTTTCTTTGGGGATTCATTTCAGTTGTTTTCTATAGCTACTCTTTCCTTCCTTATACAGTTTTCTCCATACCCATAGAATAACAAGTTTGGAGGAGACTTTAGAGATCATCTAGTTTATTATTTTTTACCTTTAATTTAGTGAAAATGATCATTGTTTGAAAAAGTGAGACTCACCCAAACTGCTGCAGCCACTTGATGATAGAGCTATAGCTAGGTCTGGGTGTCCTAACCACTGCTGTCTTGTATATCAGTAATATCAAGCCCCAAATATAGATATATTTTTAAAAAAATTACACTTGTATCATTCGGCTTATTTTTCAGCTTACCTTTTGGTAAGACTTTCATATCCCAAATATAGATATATATTTTTTAAAAAATTACACTTGTATCATTCGGCTTATTTTTCAGCTTACCTTTTGGTAAGACTTTCATAAATATTAGTTCAATTTAATCCCTCATGAAGGGTATGGGGGAGTTATTATCCCCATTAATGTAGATGTTGGTAATGGAGCCCAGAGGGGATGTACTTAATAGGGATTACAGATGAAGTTGCAATCCAAGTATTTTGAATGCAATTCATGCTTTGGTTGCTACCCTAGTATTGTTGATTTTAATGGATGCTTTATTTTATGTTGCTTCGTTCATAAATAAGGAATGCAATCAAAGCCAATTTAAAATATATTGACATGTTAATTAATTGCTTCTAAATTAATCCACATGTTTGAAACAAATAGTCTGAGCACCTTGTAATAATCTTTTAAAATTACTGTAGTATTTCTTTTTAAAATTTTCATCTAATTTTGATTTTAAGAGTGAGTTGGTAGAAGCATTAATGTAAATATGGCAGTACATATTTCAGTGTTTTAATTGTCATGTTATTTTGTTTTGGAGGTCTTACAATGAAAATGACTATAATGAGAATAGACAAGAAAAATGTATACCTCATAAGAAACCAAGCCAGTTTATGTTAAGCAGACCATACACTATCACTTTGGAGAGATATATAAATTAATTAAATTTAATTTTCAGTGTTTTGTATTTAACCTCATAACACAAAATGCAGAAAATTAAACTGTATTTTAATAAACTATTGTTAGTAATATTTACATAAAAAGTGGTGATACCTAGTTACAAATTTGTCAGAATTTTAGAAATATTTGGCTTTAGTGTCTTTTTGATAAATTCAGCTTTCTTTATTGCCAAAAATCATTAAACAAAGCATTTGCTATCCAGATGCTATTTTTTGTGAATTTTCTTTTTTTGTTAATTTAATATTAGGCTAGTTATTTATAAACTGACCAAATATCAATTAAGTATTTTTTGGAAAAAAAAAAAAACAAAAAAAAACTGAAATGAACTTCCAGGGTGAGAGGAGTGGGAAAAGGGAAGTGTTGTAGTTGATTTATTTACCAACTTGTCACAGTTCAGCCATAAATATGTACTTTAAAGGTAAGAGGCACATAAAGATAGAATCTGGTTCCCTTAATCCCATTATGTATAGAAACTTCATTTTAGAGAAGGGCTAATTGATTTAATACAAAGATCCAAAGTTAATAAAGATTTTGCCTCTCAGTGTAAGATGTTTCTAATTATATTTTGCTATTTTGTATATAGTGACAACAAATTGAATTCATTGTAGCAAAACACTTTAAAAATGAAATTGTATTAATATAGGCAAAACTTAAAAATTTGCATCCTTTCTTTTAATTAAAATAATTATGACATTATTGATACTAATTTTGGGTGCATTACTTTTCTTCCAGAAAAGTTTGCTGAAAGGCACTGTGCAATTCTCCTTGATTCAAGTGGGCCTTTTGCTTCCTGCCATCCAGTTGTGAACCCTAAATCCTATCATGAGGTTTGTGAGGTCTAACATTAACAGCTCTTTTTGGGAAATACTCTGATGATACTGACAAAAGCATGTATATATTAAACATTTTCAAATAACAGCCACTGCCAATAGATTAAGGTTTATGCTTAAATTTAACATTAATTTTTTTGCATTATATATACCAACTTAAAAAAAATACATGATACTCGGAAATAACCCCAAATGACAAAATTCTCGGATAAGTTTTTCTTTCTGTCTTCTCTAAGTTCTTTGGTAAGTGGGTTAATAATTAATTTTCTCTCTTGAGAAAAAAAATCCCGAAGGTGTCAAAGACAAACTTTCTTGGGGGTGGAGGAGTGGTTATGAACTGGTTACTATATCCAGTTTACCTGTTCTTCTGAATAATTTCATAATGCAATATAAATTCATTTCTTATTTGAAAGGAATGCAAAAAATACACTTGCTCTTGTGAAAACAGCCAAGATTGCCTGTGTACAGTTTTAGGCAACTACGTGAAAGCGTGTGCTGAGAAGGAAACATACATAGTGGAATGGAGAACTGGACAATGTGGTAAGCAGGATAGAAGCTTAAGATGACTCTTCCTTCCTTCTCAATTTCACTGTAGTTTTCTGTTTGTGTGGGGGCCCATGTATTTACAAATTTTTACCTGGTTCTTTCAAAGATGATTTTCTGTTTTGTTTTTTTAAATATCCTTGTGCAATCCTTGCAATTTTTACTAGTTATTCCTTCTTGATTTAATATCTTCACATATAAACAAGAACATAATACATATGTATTTATATACTCATATAAATATATATATTTCTTTTCAATTGTTGTATGCTGAAATTTAAATAATGTCTGACTGCTAATGCAGTTTTTAAAATTTTAATTTTAATTTTTTAATTGGTTATGAATATTCATGAGATACAAAGCTGATTGTCGCCCTCTTGCCCAAGATGTGAAGGCCAGATTCATACTGGCGGCATACCCATTACCATGCACTTTGAAATGATATCTTAATAGTAAAATTGGTTATGAATATTCATGAGATACAAAGCTGATTGTCGCCCTCTTGCCCAAGATGTGAAAGCCAGATTCATACTGGCGGCATACCCATTACCATGCACTTTGAAATGATATCTTAATAGTAATCATTTATTTTGAGAAAAACGAATAAAATGCATCAGTAAATTAGTGGCTCAATTATCATATTTATAAAATTCTGCTTTGCTTTAAAATACTCATTGCACTGTTTGAGCGTGTCTTCAGAAAAAGTCTTGATTTACCAAAAGAAAAAAAACAAAAAAGACGAAAAAACTTTGCAAAATTCTGCTTTGCTTTAAAATACTCATTGCACTGTTTGAGCATGTCTTCAGAAAAAGTCTTGATTTACCAAAAGAAAAAAAACAAAAAAGACGAAAAAACTTTGTAGAAACACATCTCTTGTAGGTCATACTTAACATCTCACAGCTCATATCCAGTTAATAAGTGAGGTCTGTCAAATTCACCTCCAAAATCTCTCTCAAATCCATTCGCATCTCTCCATCTCTATTGCCACCAACCTATTTCAAGAAACCACCATTTTCATCTCTTGGATGATTGCAATAGCCTCCTTTAATATCCACTCATGGCTCCCTCTAATACATTTTCTAGAGAAAGCAGGGTAGTCTTTACAGCAAAACCAAATAAAACTAACCTTTTCATGTAACACTCCAGTCTCTAAGTCAAGTCAATGGCTTCTTACTGCTCTCAGGCTAAAGACCAAACTCCTTAAGAGGGCCCTGTAAATCGTAACCACTGAATCTGCCTCTGGGCTTATAGCTTCCATTCTCCTATGTGGGCTTTATCCTCTCTTCTGACTTAGGCTACTCCCCAGACATAGAATTTCCTTATGTCCTCTTCATCTATCCATCCACTTTAATAAGTGCAGATCCCCAGCTGTACACACTTAGCACTTTCCATCTGGCTACCTCATAGTACATACCACAACTGTCCTTCCTCCAGGAATATGAGCCACATGACAGCAGTGTATTGCCTGTTCTGTTTGCAGGCTTTATCCCCAGAAGAGTGGTTAAACATACAGTAGGAACCCAATATTGACTGAAAAAATGCAGAATGAAAAAAAAAAGCAATGGACAAGAACCTTTTTATAGTTCACTATAAAATCTATAAACATCAAGTTGCAGTAAAATTGCTTATTTTCCTGGATGTATTCATAGTCATTATTTTTTGTCTCTACCAACAGAGCAATCCTGTCCAAGTGGCCTGGTTTTCAAGTACAGTGTAAAAGCCTGCAATAGTTCTTGCCGATCATTGTCAGAGGGAGATAGGAGCTGTGATGTAGAAGATGTTCCAGTTGATGGATGTGCCTGCCCTGATGGAATGTTCCAGACTAATGAAGGAAAATGTGTTCAGAAATCTGAGTGTGACTGCTACTTAAATGATGAGGTCATGCAGCCGGGCAAACTCATCCATCTTGATGACAATACATGGTATGGAGATTACATATGTGCTTGTTAAGATGCTGAAATCAGGGAGTGTGTCCTTTCAGAGAAATAGTCTTTTGCTAGTATGAAGTCTTCTTTAGACCTGCCATATTTTTGATTTTTCATTTTTTATTTAGGTTAGCTATTGCTCTTATTATTTTGGAAGATTCACTGCATCATAATGGTTATAAATGATTTATTCTATGCTGGTTTAGTTTCAAACACCTGTGGAAAAAATATTCTGGTAGCTCCTATATACAGACAATGCAAAACGATTTCATATTTAGACAACATTTTCTAGATGTCTCTTAGCTGTCATCATTCAACAAACACTTATTAAGTGCCTACTGTGTGCCAGGCCTTGTGACCATTGTCTTGGACTCATACAGCAAGCAGTTAAAAGGTGATTTGTATACTACGACATCTTAGTAGAAAGGGGCCAGTCGCCCTCTGAGGAGATTGAGGAAAACTTTCCAGAAGAGACTGGCATTTGAGTTGTCCTAAGGGATGAATCTTTTACTAGACAAAATTGAGATATGGAAGCTGATTATCTGTGGAATAAACAGAATGCATTAATACAGAAAATGCCTGAAAAAGTATTGTACAAGTGGGTTGTTGTTGCATAGGATTGGGCTAGCAACAGACCAGTGGCCAAGCCATGCTCAAGAATTTGGATTTAGTTCCTGAAGAGCTGAAGAATTTAACTACTTTGTAAGGGCCAAGTAGACTGCAATTTCTACAGTTTGGAGTAAAGTAATTTAAACATACCTAATTCCATAGACAGACATAGTAATTCTTAACAATGTAACCACAAAAATGAAGTAGCCATTCCAAAAATCTTTGGATGTGCCTTCTTTTGTTTCTTTAGTTTCATGAAGCTATCATTGAGCAATGAATGATTTTTCTTTGCCCTTTAAAAGGAAAGCATAGGTAACCTCTTTCCATCAAAGCCCACAAACATTTGGTTGGGGTTTGATAAAGATACTTTCTTTTCCTCTGTTGGTGTTGGGGAATAAATAGATTAACTTTTGAATGAAACTTAGGCTAGTATCTCCAAATTATGGTTCCCTTCATCACTGCCCTATTTCAGACTCCCATGAGCTCTTGCTGGCACTACTGGGGCAGCTACTTTGGCTGTTCATTGCCCTGTCTCTCTCTGTTGCTGTCTCATGTTTTCTGCACTGCTCCTGCAGTGCTGCTGTCTAACCTAAAGGACTGTTCTAATGGTGCCATTGTCCCGCTCAGAAATTTTAAGGACTTATAGTTGACTGAAGAATAGAAACAAAGTTGCAAGTCATTTAAGGCCATCCAATATCTAGCCCCAACCTACTTTTACCACTTCTTCTCACTGTGCCATCTGTCTTCTATCCCAACATGACTAGATGGAGTCATTGGAACATATCTTGTTCTTTCCTGCATCACAGTTAGGCATTTGATTAGCTGTATCTGTTGAAACTTACTTCTCCATTAAGATCCAGCCATCCTTTCCATAGTTTTCTCTCGGGTTCATAGAACCTTGTTTGTACATTGCTGTAATTCTTGCAAGTCTATATCTTATAGTTTTGTACATTTTGTTCATGTTCTGGGGACTGTGTCTCATTTATCTAACTAATTGTCCTTGGCATTTGATGTTTACATGTATAATTTTCTTTTATTTCCAGTGTCTGTCAGGATGGGATTCTTCTTTGCCAGACTCCTCTTAATTTAACCCTATGTAAGTGCTGACATTGTGGTGCAAGCTTAAGTATCTACTTTGGCTGAAATAAACAGATCAAGAGGCTCTTGATTAACAACTTCCTGTATCCTGCAGATAACTGTTCTGGAGGGGCTGAGTATGTGGACTGCAGTGATCCCAAGGCACAGAGTAGAGTTGACAGAACGTGCAGCACTCGGAACATACCTATTTTTGATGTAAGCAACATGGCCTTAGAGTTGAGTTTTTAAAAACTTTTAATTGTTTCAAGGCAGAAGGAAACTAAAACGTCAATGAAAAATAATTAGATTGTTATATTATTTTTGTGTGTTATTCTGACTTGTCACGTTAGCTCCAAATTTATACTTGGTAGATTTGTGTATTTAAATTGATGCTGATAATGTGACATGATTAGAACTGTGCCTAATCATTTTATATTTATTTCTGCAGGAGGACTTGTCTTGCAGACGTGGCTGCTACTGTCCAGTAGGAATGGTTCGAAATTCTGAGAGGAAATGTGTCTTTCCTGATGACTGCCCATGCTCTTTTGGTGGAAGAGAATATGACCAAGGAAGTGTCACTTCAGTTGGCTGCAATGAATGGTGTGTAATAAAGGATTACTATTTTATTTCTTTTGGGTATTAGAAAACACAGAGTCTACTCTTACTTTCATAAGAAAGAAGTCATACTTTGGGATATTTGAAAAAAGTAATGGCCAAATGCCATTAGCAAAAGATGCTATTTTTAAAATATAGAAACTTTTTACAGCATTTTATATAATGAACAGCATACAATATAATGAAGACAACTGCAAAATTTAATAAATCAATGTGAAACTTTATTTTGTGCTTCTTTACAAAAACAATGAGAGTATGTGAATCCTGGCATATGGTATATATGGTAATATAATTACCATACTGTCTTATTTTTTTCCTTTAGTACTTGCATTAAAGGGTCTTGGAACTGTACACAAAATGAATGTCAAACCACCTGCCACATCTATGGGGATGGACATGTTAGAACTTTTGATGGGAAAAGTTACAGCTTTGATGGTCTCTGCCAGTACTCATTTCTTGAGGTAATTATGAGTGTGTTTTATCACAATTTTTCTATACTTGCTAATTATTATTCATTTGTAGATGAGTTCTGGAGAACTTAAAAAAATCCAAAACCTCCCCTTACATTTTTCTAGAAGTCAGTAAAATGTTACACAGTGTAATGCTTGTTACACTTCCCCCTGTGTAACAGAGATGTAAAAAAGAATTATATGATTACTCAAAGGAGTATGAATTCATTGAGAAGCCCGGAAGGACAGCACTTCAGTAATTTCCCCTTTAGGAGGATAAAGCTGAATGTGACAGCCCTGGTTCAAAGTTAGCTTCTCCCTTTTATTGTAAAGACAAGGAAGTTTCACAAGAAAATTTAGTTGATTTAATCATTACAAAGAACACAAGGATATAGGCAGAGTTATGGCTAAGTACAGTTTTAACAATGGAAACTAGTAACATTAGTGAAATAAACAAAATGATGTTCCATAATGCAATTTGTAAAAAGTTAAGTCGATCCACCAACAAAAGCTTGTTCTTAGCAAACACTTTTTTTTTTCCTACAGCAATTTCCTTGGTATGTTTACATAACAATCAAGTAACTTTCTCAACATATCAATCAGTAGGTTAACCTGTACCAGGGACATCTGCTCTTTGAGCCAGCAATTTTGCTGTGTTACAATTCTTTATCTACAACAGAGACTTTAGCCTGGGGAAAGAATCCTGCCTTTTGCAAGCTTGACATTTCTATGTGTAATTTTAAAAAGTTAGGCTATACCTGAAACTAAAGGGCTTTGTAAGCTAGGCCCTGTGAAATACATTTGCTTTATAAATGTTATTCCACAAATGCTGACTCTAGAAGCTAGGCCTATATTTCAATCCTGGCTCTACCATTTATCAGATGTGTGATTCTGAGCACATTCTTTTACCTATTGTTTTCATATATATAAAATGGGTATGGAAATAGCCCCTGCTTGAAACCAAACTAGAGCACACAGTGGAGCACATACTAAGCACTCAATATTTGTATTTATGCATTAGTTTAGATTGAATATCAAGTTTCATATAAGTCACTGAGAAAAGGAAGTCACTTCTATCTAGCTATTAACAGAGTCTTTGGAAATAAATCTGTGAATACATACATATATAACATAAATACTTATATATCTATGGTATAATTTTAAGCTTGCATAGAAGTAATGGGAAAAGGCCGAATTGAAGCAAGTTAACTAGATTGGACTCAGCCAAGGTTACCTACACATAAATGCAGTCAAACCATTGTCTTTTGGAAATTCCATAATGGCATATGGTAATTTATTGAGTTTAAGGCATCACTCTCTAAGAAATATTTGTCTGATACAGATATGGCTATTGAGTTCAATGTCTCTGATATTCATAAATTACTATTATAATTTCATTTTTAAAGGATTATTGTGGTAGTGAAAATGGCACATTCCGTATTTTAACTGAGAGTGTCCCGTGCTGTGAAGATGGGCTTACATGCTCAAGAAAAATCATAGTTGCTCTTCAGGTACAGTACTATTTCTCTTTGTTTTCTTTTTCTTTCACATTATAAGCAGCTGAGTAAAACTGTTATTGTGAGTCTGTCTTTTAATTTGCAGGATCAGAATGTTGTCTTGCAAGATGGTAAAGTAACAGCAGTCAAAACTACAGAAAGTACGGAGTGTGAACTCAATGCAAATGTATACTCCATACATACTGTTGGCCTGTACTTGATTCTGAAGTTTCTAAATGGAATCATCATAATTTGGGACAAAAATACGAGACTGTCTGTTATACTGGATCCACGTTGGAATGTATGTATATCACTAACAGATGATTAATAGGGAAGCAAAGTCATTTTTATTACTGAAAATTAAAGACATATTCATTGGGGGCAGGGGAGAATGGTAGGGCCTCTGTTACAGTAACAAAGCTCTCTACTTCTCTTCAACCTCCTTATGGAATATGAAATGTAATTGAAGATGATAAAATATGGTAAACAAGGAAATGCAATAAACTCGAGGCATTCTAACTTAACCATATTTGGTTACTTGAGATTATTACATGATACAATTTTTAGGTAGCTGTTATATTTTAAATTAAATACATTTCTTGGAGCAAATATGTTAAGAACCTAAGAGTATACTCATGTATAATTTGAAACTAGCAAATATAATTATTTTTTATTCTTAAGGCATTTATTCTACTTGACACTAGATCATTTGGTGATATGGGATAACTTAGATTAGATGAGAGCAGAATCTTACCTACAAATTCTGGTTTTCTTCCAATATTAGGAATTTGATAGAGATTCATGACACAATATACGTAACAGTGTTATCTTTTGTCTATCATCCGTCTGTCTGTCTGTCTCTCTCTCCATGTCTCTTGTATAATTCATTTTTAAATTTCCCCCTCCAATCAATACAGGGCAAAGTGTGTGGTCTTTGTGGAAATAATAATGGAGACCTCAAGGACGATTTCACAACAAGATACTCATCGGTAGCTGCTGGAGACCTGGAATTTGGAAATAGCTGGAAAACAAGTCAAGACTGTTCAGACACTGTAGCTCAAAGTTTCCCATGTGACTCAAACCCTTACTGTAAAGCCTGGGCTGTGCGGAAATGTGAGATTATCAGGGACAGCACCTTCAGAGACTGCCACAGCAAGGTAGCACTGCTCTGAAAGCAATCATTACACAGGGTTCTCCCCCAGAGACTCATGTGCTGTGCTCTGCCTAGGTTGACCCCAATGCTTACTACGATGCGTGTATTGAAGAAGCCTGCGCGTGTGACATGGAGGGGAAGTACGTTGGATTCTGCACTGCCGTGGCCATGTACGCAGAGGCATGTAGTGCAGTGGGAGCCTGTGTCTCATGGAGAAAACCAAATCTCTGTCGTAAGTGAAGTCCATGTGTTGCTGTTCTTTAAAAACGGAATTAGATAGAATTGGTTTGTTAGACAATCTTGCCCTCATGTTTTCCATAAAACATACGTTCTTGTACCTAGAATGGTTTTAAAACATGTTCATATGTGTTTTTATTATACGAAAAATACATAACTGTAAAAATACAGCACCTGCTACAGCACTTCAAGTTCAGTTTTAGTTTCAAGAATTCCTGTGTTCACAGGGGAAAATACTGAATACTGATGGAAAACATCTCGTATTCATACTTAAATGAACAATGAACTGTTTACTTATCTTGATATACTTATACATCATTAAACATTTATCTCATATATTACTTTTGGTTGAAATCCTTACACATTTTATTTCCTTGAAAACTTTTATTGAACTCTGTTGAAGATGAAGTATAAACTAAATCTCGGTATATATGGAATATGATAACATTAATAGCAGTCAACTCCTTTCCTTCTAAGCAACACATTATGAGAGAACATATGATAATTAAGAAGTATTGAAATAGAATTCTCATTTTATTGTGTTTCTTATGTATGGCATTATATTATACTGACATCTTTAGTTATCTTGTTTGGGGACTGTTATTTACATATTAAAAAGATTAATTTCTCCAGAGATTTAATTTAAGCTTGAGCATTAAAACCATGAATCTAGACTACAACCTAAAATATCTCCCAATGGAAAAATTAGTGTTTACCTTTCCAGCTCAAACTAACCTCAGTGTAAGATGTCAAAAGAAAGTGTTATTTTGAGTTTATATGCTCCCCCTTTTTTTGTGAACTATTTTGATTTATGTAGTGGCTTAGATAAAGACAAAGGCACTTGATAAGACATAACGAAATACTTAGGTCTGTTTATCATTAATATCATCCAAAATTCCTTTTTAAAGTGCTTTGGAAAATGAAAGATGGAAATTGTCATGTAATGAATGAAAGTAATTTGACATAATTCAATTATAGCTGTCTACTGTGATTATTACAATGCACCTGGGGAATGCAGCTGGCATTATGAACCGTGTGGTACAGTGACTGCAAAAACATGTAAAGATCGGGTCATTGGCCAGAAATTTTCTGCACTTTTAGAAGGTAAGGCATATTTTAAGAATATCCACGAAGTAGTGCAAGTGATATTTGTTTTTTAAAACTGGAAAATGTTGTTAGTTTCTCCCAATTGTCTTATGTTTTGTAATTTAATGAGTAGTTATTCATCTCCATTATGACATTAATATTTCTACACTAGAAACATTTTCTCTAGACATAAATTATCTGTTTAATAGGAGAGAATGTGTATGTGTGAGAGAAACTGAGGGAGAGAGCTATGATTCTATTGTCAATCTTTATACCTTTCATTAGATGATGTAGTTTGATGAGAATGCACTTTCAGAATGCAACATATAATTCAATCTTTCTTAAACAGAGGCCAATTAACTGTATCTCACACTTTAACAGTTTTATTCTCAGCATTATATATTTCAGAGAGAGAGAAAGAAGTGGCAAGAAAACAAGATGACACAAAAACTTTCCAAAAGTCACATCTGTTTTAAATCCTAGACTTTGGGATATTTTCGGCCCATTTTGTTATGACTTCTGTATCTTCACCTAGCCTTGCAAAAACAGATATTTGGAATTGGCGTTCACATTTCAAGATATGTATTTATCAATGCCTGTTTTATGTTAACATCATGCCGATCACTGAAGTAGCAAATCATTTAAGAATACTTTAGAAAACACTTCAGAAAAAAAATTAAATAGACCAGCACTTTTTTAAGGTCTTAGGTTAATATTCTACTGCAGGAAGATCTGAATCCTGTTTCCTTTTATGAGTGTGATGTCGCTTTGCTATTATCAACTTAGATCATGGAATCATTTAAGTTAACTTTACAAACATATTATGGTGTATGACGAGTTTCAGTAAAAAGAGATGAACTGCAGGTCGTTTTTACACACAGGTTGTTATGCGAAGTGTCCAGACAGTGCTCCCTATTTGGATGAGAACACCATGAAATGTGTCAATTTGTCCGAGTGCAGCTGCTTCTACAATGATATCATACCAGCAGGGGGAGTGATCGAAGACAATTGTGGAAGAACGTGGTACGTTCTCTATGAGCTTTCCAATAAGCGATTCTAATTTTTGCATTTTCATTCAGGAAGGAAACTGTGTGTGTGTGTGTGTGTGTGTGTGTGTGTGTGTGTACAAGGGTACTTCAAAAAGTTCATGGAAAGATACATATTATCTTTTAATTCTATTTTTCCACAAACTTTTTGAAGTACCTTCATAGAGATATAATTTTGATTATGTCATTCGTAAATGAGGGCAGCTTTAGGTTCAGTTTTATATGTTATGTTAGTTATTTTGTAATTTCAGAAAACCCACATATGAAGAAATGGTTTGTTAAATCTTATACTTAGTAATGCAGAAGACAAGACAGAAAATGTCACTGTGTAGTTTTAGGGGGGAAAGACAATTTTAATTCCATAAATGTAAGATCCTGTCTACAGGCTTGCAAACAGTTACATGGAAACACATCCCTGAGGTCATGCTAGTGCAGTATGGCCCTCAAATACCATCGTGTTTGAAACTGATCATGTAGAACTCACTTTAGAGCCTGACTGCAAACCATTGCTCTAGGTCCCAAGAACTCCTCCCTGAAATGATTAGGAACCAGTACATGAAAAAACAAGCAATTTGGGCCAGCCCGGTGGCGCACTGGAGAGTGCGCCGCTTGGGAGTGCGGCGGCGCTCTC